GCCTACTGCCTTTTCCTGCTTCTTTGGATAACTGTGTATAGTTGGTTTATGATATGGGTCAAGGAGTGTTTGTAGACATGTGGCCTTTCCTCTCCAGCAGAGAAATACTAATCATATAATTGGCTTTCAAATTCCAATTAGAAGACTTTTTCTAAAGAAAAAGTGACTTATGATTAAAAGAAAAGCCACTGTTGTTTGAGAGGAAAGAGGTTTTTTTTTTTAATTGTAAAAGTTTTGTTTCTAGTTTTATAAAGGAGAACACATATGAAAGTACATGTTTATTTGTTGAGGGCAGGAAAGAGAGTTTGATGACATACTAAGGTTTGTCATGGTATGCATATAAAAACTCCATTTTAGGGGCTGGGAAGTTGGCTCAGTGGGAGAGTGTTTGCCTCGCATGCATGAGGCCCTGGGTTCCATTCCTCAGCACCATATAAGCAGAAAAATAAAGCTGGAAGTGGCACTGTGGTTCAAATGGTAGGGTGCTAGCCTTGAGCTGAAAAGCTGAGGGACAGTGTCCAGGACCAGAGTTCAGCCCCACGACTGACAAAAAACAAAACAAAAAAACCCCAACAAGTCCATTTTAAAGGAGGACTGAGGAGATTCTCATAGGGATTTAAATAGAGTAAAATGGGTAATTGTTAATAGTTTTAACAATGAGTATGATTTTATCTTAAATTATTTGTGAAAGTATTATATGAAAGCTGACAATAATTAATTAATCTTATTTTTCATTTGCCTCTTTTGTAGACATGGTATCAGGCAAAAATTCTATTACAAGAATTTTTTCTCTTTTGTTTCTTTGTTTTCATTTTTTAATGTACTGTGTGAAGTACATTTCTTTTATTTTTTTTCCTGTACTTTATCCCCTGTTGTTTGTTGTTTGTTTGTTTGGTTTTTGCCTTTTTATTGTAAGGATGCTGAACAGAGGGGTTACAGTTCCATGAGTAAGGCAATGAGTACATTACTGTGGATCATTGTTACCCCTTCCCTTGTTGTTCTCCCACTATCCCTTTCCTCCCCCACCTCCCACATCCCCTCCCTCCCCAAGTTGTAAAGTTCGTTTCCAATATACTGTCCTGTGGGTATCCTTGCTGCAACGGGTCATCCTGGGTCCTTGTTGCACCGTTTTGTTATTCCCCTTCCCCTCCCCAGATTAGACAAATGTTGGCAGGGCACCAAAATCAAGTACAGTGACATCAGGGGACATACCATAGAGGGAAGAACGTACAAAGGAAACAAAAAAAAAACGCCTAGTATGTTTAAAACAACAACAAAGACAGACCCCTGGTGTCCTTATCTTGGCATTCATTTCACTTAGCATCATCATATATGGACATACGTACATAGCTTTTGAGCTTTTCAGTCATATGATAAAAAATTATCCTATATGTATACTAATTATTCCAAATAAGGGAAACCATGAGACCCGAATTTCTTTGGGAATGGCTTACTTCACTTAATATGATTTTTTCCAAGTCTTTCCATTTCCTAACAAATGAGGGAGTGTCATTCTTTCTGATGGAAGCATAGAATCCCATTATATATATATGTAAATATGTATATATATATGTGGTATGTATGTATGTATACATATGCATATATGTATACCACATTTTATATATACATATATGCATACATACATACCACATTTTCTTGATTCATTCATCTTCTGAGGGGCATCTTAGCTATGGTGAAAAATGCTGTGACAAACATAGTTGTGGGGGTAGCTTTACTTTGGTCTTGTTTGTGATCATTTGGATAAACACCCAAAAATGGGATTGCTGGGTCATAGGGGAGCTCTATGTGGAGTCTTTTGAGGAACTCCATACTGCTTTCCAAAGTGGTTGAACAAGTTTACATTCCCACCAACAATGCAATAAGGTTCCCTTTTGACCCACATCCCCTCCAGCATCTGTTGTTATTAGAGTTCTTGATTATGGCTATTCTAACTGGGTTGAGGTGGAATCTTAATGTTGTTTTGATTCACATTTATTTTATGGCCAGAGAAGTTGAGCATTTCTTCATGTGTCTACTGGCCATTCTTATTTCCTCTTCAGAGAAGTTTCTTTTTAAGTCTTTAGTCCACTTGTTGATGGGGTGGTTGTTTCTTTGAGGATTTGTTTTTGGGGAATTTAATTTTTTGTGTTCTAAGTATATTTTAGGTTTGAGGTCCTTGTCTGTTGTATGGCTAGTGAAGGTCTTCTCCCAGTCTGGGCTTTCTATTGATCTTGCGAGCTATGTCCTTTGTCATGCAGAAGTGCTGCAATTTCATGCAATCCCATTTGTCCAACCTTTCTTTGATTTGATGTGTTTCTGGGTCTTTATTAAGAAAATTTCAGCCTGTGCCAAGGAACTCTAGAGTTTCTCCTATTTTTTCCTCTTCTATTTTTTTCAGTGTGTCTGCTTTTACTTTGAGGTCTTTGATCCATTTGGAGTTGATTCTGGTGCAGGGTGATATACAAGGATCTAGCCTTAGTTTTCTTCAGGTATTTAACCAATTTTGCCAGCACCATTTACTGAAGAGGTGGTTTTTATTTCATTCTATTGTTTTTAGCTCCCTTATCAAAGATTAGGCTATAGGTCTGCAGGTTCATTTCTGGGTCTTTGGTTCTGATACATAGCACTAATAGAAATGAAAATAGTTGATAAAAACACTTGGGAAAATAATTTTATGTATTTGATAAAATTGAAAATTTATGTATTATCAAGTAGGCCCACATGTGTTACACATTTGTAAAATGGTGATCAATTTGAGTTTATCCACATTCTTGCATCACTTCATAAGGTCAGATTTGAAAAACCAGTCTTTAAAAATCAAAATGAACTCCAAAGAGGTTTTCTCTGACCATAACCATTCACTACCTTTGACTGATAAACACTTAATAATAAATAATCCACTAGAAAACATTTTTGGACACCTCTTATGTAGAAAACTTCTATTAGATCTAGAGTTATTGGAAACAATAAGAAATGATTCCTATGAAGGGCCTGGGAAACTTTTCTGATATCTAAATAATAACTTTAAAATGAAAGTTAGGGCATTGTACTACAGTGGGTTAAGTACAGTTATAGAACTTCATACTAAGATTATGTGAGTCCAACAGAATGACCCAACTTTTGGAAGTAGGAATTAACCACCAACTCCTTTTTAAGCATAGAATTGTATTCTTAGTAGACGCTGGGATTTATCAATATGTTCACTAATTTTACTTTCTTATTTTACTAAAACACTATTTATATATAATCCCTTATTTTACTGACATATGTACTTAAAATTTTTATTGTTATAAAAAGGATGTATAAAGAGATTACAGTTATGTAAGTCAGATAATATATTTCTTTTTGGATAATGTTATCCCTTTCCTCTCTCCCTGTACTAATACATATTTTAAATAAATAAATAAATATGTTGGCTTTTGTCTAACAGTCAAAAATTTCAGATGTTTAAAGCAGTAAAATGGATGATTATTTCATGCAGATCCTGAGGCTTAGGAAGCTAAGAATGTTTTAGCCATGTGCTTTTGGCTTCTAGTCTCTCATGTGACTTGCAGTGAAGTCATCTGGGATTGCAGTCACATGAAGGCTGGGAGCTAGCTAAAGAAATCAGTGATGGAGGAAGGTAATAGGGAAAGCTAATTAAAACTAAATAGTGTAATAATAAGTAGGGTAATAAGAAATAGAGTAAAAATGAGAGCAAACACTGAGAGACGAGATCCAAAAGATACTACAGAATTCAAATCATAACAGAGCCCCGAGAACTAGGGCACAGAACTCGCCTTTCACTTTGAGGAAGATGGCTGAGCAAGGGACCGATGCCACTTTCCGTAGGGTATACAGATCACTCTACTGGCATTGACACATAGAGGGATACAGGGAAGAGTGGAAGCAGAGTCTCTTACACTATGAGTTCTCAGGTAGTTTAACGGCAGAGTGGGATGTAAAGCAAGTATGAAATGGAAACTATGAAGTGATATACATAAGTCTTTCTACATCAGTCTTTCAGCACAGATGTTCAAGTTCAAAGACCTGCAGAGAATGCTAGGTTACTGTCCCTTCAGCTTCCAGGCAGGGATGTTGAGGCCATGGAAGGGCCTGGGCTTAAAGGCCTTCAGCTATTTCTTACTAACCAGGAGGGTGAATCTATCTATCTATATCAATCAATTAATCAATCTATCTATCTATCTATCATCTGTCTCTCGATCTTTCCCTCTCTCTCTTTCTGCCTAGATTTATGAACTAAGAGTTCAGTTATTTATTTATTTTTTACCACTAGGATTAGCCTCCTCTCTTCAATTCTTTCTGAGGATCTTCTCTTATTCTCATCAGAAGAGCATCTGGCAGATACTGAAGAGTTATGACTAATTCACTTTTTGGCTATTTTTCTTACTACTCATGAAGGGCAAGTGAGAGAGGGTTTTTTTTTTGGCTTTCTTCTCTTCAGTCTAATCATTGTATAATTTGGGTTAGTGTTTAGAGTCATCATTCACTATCTTTAATTCTCCATTGACTATAAATCTTTACATTCTCTTTCTGGAAAGATGTTTCAAGTCAATTATTTTAAATTTGTTAAATAATTTCTATCTTTCAATTCTGGGCTGAAATCATGGAAATCTCTAACTCTCCCATAAATTTGTGAGGTGCTACACTGTGATGCAGTCAGCTTATTCTAGCTGCCAACAGGAGTATTTGTGTCCTGGATGAACACCAATCAGGACTTCGTTTCCCTTCCTTTCCTTTCTTTTCTTTTTCTTTCTTTTTTTCTAGAGAAGAGTTTTACCAGAATTCCATTGAAAGTAATTTCTTAATGTCTCTGTTTTACAACTGAGATTTAGTCTCAGGGAAGTAACTTCCTAATTATATTATTATGTCCTTCTTAATATTAATATACCTGAATCTTTAGAAGTGATAGACTTCCATTGGAGCCTCTTTGAATCTTATTGGATTTGGAGTGTACATGTTCTTTGCAAATTGAGCATGTTCTGACTTTGTTTTGAAAGTTTCAGGATCTGAAGCTGCAAGAGTTCTACTGCGAAGAAAACCCACTGTTCCGGAAGGAGCCAATCATTGCTGACCAACAGGAGGACCTGTGGAATCTCCTGGTGAAGACTTAGCTTATAAGCATGAGTGGGCAAACTAATGCCAAGGCTAAGATGTTCCTTTTTCTTTTGTAAATTGCTTCAGTGTTATTAGAAAGGTGGTGTACAGAGGGGTTAGAATTACTTACACAAATCCAGCAAGAGTACATTTCTTTTTGGACAATTGTCACCCCTTTCCTTGCTCTCCATGGCTTCAAATTTCAAGGTTTGTCTTTTAAAGTATTCTTACCAAACCAGAAAATGTTTAATGTAATCTTAGTCCGTTGGCAATATGGACCCTGCACATCATTTTGTGATTATGTGATTGCCAGAGTGACTACATACACATAAATCTGGATATTTTGTTAGATGAAGAGGAATTTATTTTTCACTCTAGCCTTCCAAGTATGATTTTAGTGTCGTCTAAAGATGTGTCTGATTTGTTCTTGTGATATCTTTATCTTCTGGATCTCCTTCTTTTGTGTGTCCTCACTCCTAATGAAGGAATGAATATGGTCTAAAATTCACACTTATTGTACTTAAAAGTGTTGATAAGCCAAGTGCTGGTGGCTCATGCCTGTAATGTTTAGCAATTCAAGAAACTGCAATATGAAGGATCACAGTTTGAAGACAGCCAGGGAAAATTCATTAACAACCAAAAAAAGCTGGAAGTAGAGCAGTGGCTCACGTGGTAGAACACTAGCTTTGAGCAAAAAAGCCCAGGGACAGCGCCCAGGCCTTAAATTCAAGCTCTAGTACCAGAGAGCATGTGCATGCACACACAAACACATATACAAAACATTGATGATATCATAAGGAATAGGAAACCATGATAGAGGATTCAATTTATAGTGGACGAGGAAGATTTCAGATCTTTTAACCTTAGAGTACAGCTCTCCACCATGAATTTGGACTTGTCAGATCCACCAGGCTATAGTTGAACATGCAAAAGTTTCATTTGACTTCCAGCTTTTACAGAGTTCAGCTTTTACAGAGTTCAAGTTTCATGACCAGAGTAAATAGCCACTTTCATTCAAAGGCTTAGTTTGTTTATAAATTTATTTTTAAAAACTAGCTGCATGATACTGCATCATTATGAAATCCAGAAGACACTGTAAAAGTAACTTATACAAGCTCATTTTGAGAATTTTTGGGGGGGAGGGGAATAGAACTTTTTAATGGAAATACTCAAAATTCTATTATGCTGAGATGGAATCATTCTTTCCTTTGACATTTATTCTTCTAGACCTTACTATGGATCTAGAGTGTGCTTTTAAAGGTGAAGTCAAACTCTGTACATTATTTTTTCTTCATCTGATCAGATGAAAAAACTAAAACGTTTTTTGATGAACACATGACATTGTTATGTGATAATATTTTAGTCATTTTTCTACTCTGAGGTATTTAGATGATCAATTTTAAGGCCTGTTTCCCCTTTATAGGTAGAGTTACCATGACCATACTAATAGTAACTTTCTTTTTTTAATAGTAAATTTTAATAGTAAATTTTTAATAGTAAATTTCTTTCTTTTTAAAGATTAGCTCTTTTCAAATTATCTTCTAGAAAATATTTCCATAAACAATTATTTTCTATTCTTGTGACCTAAATGTCTCATTTAACATTTAATTGTAAATAATTTAGAACACAATTATTTTAACTTATTTAATCTCTCCAGCTTATTTTTCTCCCATGTGAAACTTTTCAGAATAATACTACACTGGCTAACACTTGTTTTAACCTTATGTGTACCAAGCACTGTTCTAAACTCTTAAAAGGAATAAACAAATGTAGTCACTAATAAACTAGAAAGGTAAAAGTACCATCACAGTCCCTTTTTATAGACAGAGAAACAGAGACCCTGACAGGTTAAATAACTTGTTCAAAGTTGCAAAGATAGTATTGGTACAGAGATGCCAACTTGAACAATTGGGCTCCAAACCCCATGCCCACAGTGCTGTTTTAGCAGGGGTATCTAGGAGAGTGAAGGAAAGGGAGAGAAAGTTGTCTTGGATAGGAGGGGATCCTGGTTTGTGGAGGAGCCCCCATGAGCAGATAAACCAAAGTGTTAGCAGGCTTTCTGAAAAGCTTTAAGATCAAGAATGTTTCCAGCATTCAAGGTGTCAGAAGACTACTCTCTTTTATTTCAGAATTGTAGTGTCCAAACCTCCATATGGTTACCTTATAGATATTCTAACAAAATACCATTTAAACTATTTAAAATGAGTGAATTATTTGTCCAAAAAAAGGTTTCTTGTGTTTTAAAACACTGGAATTAAGTCATTAATATATATTTTTGACAACCGTATTAAATGTATTTCTAAGAAGTATCCCAAGAGGTACTATTAGGTTGAAACTATTTTACTTCATATATTCTCACATTTCCAAATCAAAATTTATATATTAATATTATAACTTGTCATTCCAAAGTAACATATTGGCAGTACACAGAAGTATATAAATAATGTCTTATGTAAGAACTTCAAGATACACTGAGTGTAACTGACATGTGTTGGATCCAGAAATCATAAATGGAAAAAAGCAATCTCTATAAACATATTTGTAGGTCTCACAGATTTTAGGAAATCATTCTACCTTCTGCATGGAAAGTGAATCCTTGTCTATAAGTCTCTGCAGACTAAACCAAACCAGGGAAGTCATATAGTCAACATGGTGTTTCATTTAGACTCACTACCTCTGCTGTGTATAGTTAGAAAAAAGATGAAAGTAAATGTCTGGTGTTGGAGGCCTGGTAATATTAATGCTTTCAGACTGGTCTTTGAATTGATCTCAGCCACTTACCTGTATGCAGGAAACAGAGATTCAGTGGGAAAGAAAATATGTTGTGGATGGAAAATTTAACAAGGATGGGACATTTAACAAGTCTATGCTTGTTGTGGCTGTGTAAACCTTTCCAAGTCTTTTGTTAAATTCTAAGAGTAAGGTGACAGGGATCATTGTCACAGCACTTTATGGGCTATTATCAACCTGTTATTTTCAATGAAAACTTTTAAGACTTTCATTAAGGTAAATAAATGAAAGATCATGTATATACTTATGAATGTACATATTCTTAATATTATATATACATGTAGTCTCAAAAATATATACATATGTGTGTATATATATATGAATTGCCTGATGTACTAATGTAATTCTATGGGGAAATTTTTTACTCTGGCTAAGTAAAACAAGTCCCAGATAAACTCTCCCCATATACTATTAAAATGTTTCTGTAACATTTATGCAAGACTTTTCTGCTACTGACAAAAATTGGGAATAAAGCTAATAGCTGTACTCATTTCCTTTGTTTGATCAATGAAGACTTAATTTTATGTATTATAGTGTTGATAATGTTGATAGTCCCGGTGAAAGCAATTTCCATTTTCTCATCCCTTTTACTACTTAATACTAAAAATAAAATATTATTTATATAGTTCATCAAGTCAATTTTGTGACCATCTCTGTGGCCAAGTATATTACAGAATGATGCAAGTTATTTAGTTCATAGAAGTCAATGCTGTTCAATACAGCGGTGCTGTTCAGATATTGAGTGCAGTTAATCACAGCCCTTATCAAATGAGTATACATACAGACAGACAATTGTATTAATAAATAGAGTCTCTTGTTGAATTGAATTTTTGATTCTGTTGATCTGGGGTACATCAAATATTCTGCATTTCTGATAAGCTCCCAGATGATGCAGATTATATTGGCTTGTGAACTTCAGCTTAAATAGTTTGGATTTAGACCTCAGTGAATATTACAAATGCAATTTTATTTAGTGTATTCTAATAAATGTACAAAGTAAAGGGTATCATTATGATATCTCTTTACATGTCAACAATTGTATAATATACTTTGCTCAATTCACCACTCATTTCTCTATTCCCTTCCTTTTCTACTTTCATATCTTTTTAAAGTCTAGATTCCACATATGAGAAAAACTAAGATATTTATCTAAGGACAGACCCAATTTTTATTTATTTATTTATTTTGTCGGTCATGGGGCTTGAACTCTGGTCTTGGGCACTGTCCTTCAGCTCTTCAGCTCAAGGCAAGCACAGAACCACTTGAGCCACAGTGCCACCCCAGCTTTCTAGTGGAGATTAGAGATAGGAGTCTCACAGACTTTTCTGCCCAGGCTGGCTTTGAACCATGACCCTCAGATCTCAGCCTCCTGAGTAGCTAAGATTACAGACGTCAGCCATTGGTGCCTGGCCAGATCCAGTTTTTGAGTCCAGTATGAATGCTTGTACAATCTTTGCTTATTGTAACTAAATTTACCAAATTTAGATATAAACTATATCTAATTTTTTAAAGATAATAGCAATCTATTGTGACCTAGATTTCTATACAAAAAAAGGCAGAAATAGGGGCTGGGAAGGTGGCTCAGTGGTAGAGCACTTGCCTTGCATGCCTGAGGCCCTGGGTTCGATTCCTCAGCACCACATAAGCAAAAAGAAAAAAAGCCGGGAGTGGCGCAGTGGCTCAAGTGGTAGAGTGCTAGCCTTGAACTGAAGAGCTGAGGGACAGTGCCCAGGCCCAGAGTTCAGGCCCCACGACTGGACCCCCCCCCCAAAAAAAGGCAGAAATATATTACAGTGGAAGTAACTTACTTTCTGTATGTTGATAAAAGTCAAACTTATTTATAATTCCATATTACATTCACAATAATTTAGAATATAGAATATATAGAATATGTAGAATATAGATAGTTTAGAATATTGGTTTAACAAAAACTGGATAATAAGGCAGAAAACAACATAATAAAAAACTTGAAATTAATTGGAGGAGCCATATTCTTTTTACTTTAGGAAATAACAGCAAGATTTATCATGAATCAGCTAGAAGAAAAAAATTCTTTCATTATGCATGCCATAGAAGAGTATCCAGATATCAAAAACAAAATCTCTAAGGGGAAAAGATGTGTAATATGTGGAAAATTCTTTTTAACAACATGGCTGGAATGTGTTCAGTTTGTTAGTCCATCAGAGGTAAGTGGTGCTTTTATGTGAATATGAATGGGAGATTGTCCTTATTTAAGACAACTCAAACTTTGTATCTAAGGGACTGACTTCTATGATAGTATAACCAGTGTGTGCAGAAAAATCTGATATGTGTATATAATTATCACTATCTTCTGTTTATTTTATATCTAAACTCTATTAGAACACATGCATTCCATCAAAATTGCATGGAAATTAAAAAGTTTTATTCTGCAAATCTCTTTTATTCATCAACCATTAATAAAGCTACATGCTCCTAGGGAGAAGGATTATTCACTAGTCTGTTATGGAGCTATGAGTCAAGAAAAGATTGTGCTGGCTGGTTTGTTTCATCATACTATTCTAGCACACTGAGTATGAGTATGAGCCTACAACAGTATTCCACTGAGAAGATGTGGGTCCTTGGGCAATTGCAACGCTCCTGAGGCCTATTGAAGTATCTACACTAGACGTTTATTTTCTATAATTAATCATAAAATATGGCTTAGGCGATGTGGAGTCTATCGCAACTCAAAAACTCTCCTTCAGGAAAATATCTATACATAATATGTAAATGAGGTTGGCCACGTCCCAATGAAACCTAAATTTCATATTCTACTCACATGACATGAAATAGTTGCCTGTTTCTTTTAACCATTTTTTTTAAAAGTAAAGTGATTTTTAGTTTACATGTCATATGCAAACCGAATGTGAAACAGATTTGGCCTGAGGATCACAGTTTGCCTACGTCTGTTCTTGTCCCGACAACATTTGTTCTTGGCACCATATATTTTTGCTCTGAGTAGCACTTGACCTCTCTTGGGACAGCGAAGTGCAATCGTTGACAATGTGAAATGAATAACAGATGCAGTTCCTGCCATTCTGAAGATTATCATCTTGTGGAAGAGGCAAACATTAAACCAATAAACACACATGCAATTTTAACTTCCAATAGAGTAGTATATAAGTCTCTTAGAACTGATGTAGAAGTGCCATAAACTGAGTAGCTCTAGCAACAGATTCTGGAGAACAGAAGTCCAGTATCAAGTTACTATCAGGGATAGTTCCTTCTGTGGATTGTTAAGAATAATCTGCTCTTAACTTATCAGGCCATCTTCTCCCTCTACGTCCTCCCACTGTCTTTCTTTCATACGAATGTGTCCAAATTTCCCCCACAAATCCTATTGCACTGGGAACTACTCTGAACTACTCTTTTTCACTTGATTGCTTTAACAAGGGCTGTTACTGCGCACCGGAGCCGCTGGAGGTAAAGACTTCACCACATGAATTTGTGTGTGGGTATGTGGGTGTGTGAAGGGTGTGGGGGGGGGAACAACTTGAACTGATACATAAAGGACAACAAGGAATTCATAATCCATGGTTCTAGGGAATGAAGGTATCATTAGACTCAAGAAGTCTTTGTGAGTTGAGTCCGCTGACAACAGTCTCAGTGTGTCTTATCACTAGCCACTCACCAAATTTGAAAAAAAAAATACAGATAACCTATCCTAACCCAGATTGGGTAGAGATAAGGGTCCTGGACACCTACATTGTTATAATGCTTCCAGGGCTAGGAATCTCTGCTCTGCCTTAAGGCTTTCATATCACTCCTGGGGTTAAGGAGCAAGGACTATTTTGTCACTAACACACAGAAAAAGGTCCAAATAATTGGATGAATATACAAATTAATAAATTATCTGGTGACAAGATAAATAATAGTAAGAAAAAAGTGGGGGTAAATGCCCAGTGGAATACAGAGAAATGATAAATACAGATTTTCAAGTGTTGCTTATACTGGACCATAGGTCAGTCTTCAGTAGAGGAGGGAGGTTGGAGAAGGAATGGGGGGAATGAGTAGATTGCAGTCAAGAATGCATTGTACATGCCACAGAACTGAGAAAAATGAGGGAAGGGTTGGGTGAAAGGGGGGGGATGAAGATGTTGAAGATGCATTGTATGCATACATTCCTTTCTTAAGTGGCAAAAGAAACATGAGGGAGGGGTTGGGTGAGAGGGATGGGTGAGAATCTCCAAAGGGGTGACCTTGATCAGGGGGCACTCTATTCATAAACTGCTATGTTGAATGGCACCTCCTTTGTACAACTACCTAAGGAAAATGAAAACAAAATTTTAAAAGTAAGGGTTTATTTTGCCAAGACATTAACAAAAAAATTGGCTTACTATTTCTTACTGTTTGTTTTTCCTTTCCTATTGTTATCTGAAAATGAAATCTGTTTTGCAGATTCTTTGAAAATGGATAAGTGTTTAATAATCATGGATACTTGGGATTTAAATTCTTTTTTTCTTGTGAAAATACTGTACAGAGGGGTTACAATTACATGGGTGGGATTTAAATTCTTAGTACAAAAGTATTATTAATAAAATGCATGCTTTTCAGATGATAAGAAAAAGTTACTTTAGAGCACACTGTGGACTTTTCTCTCCATCCATCTACTTCTTGGAATCTGTGTGCCCAGAGGCTTTCTATTTATCTTATTGGAATCAAGACACGGTCTCTGGAACACAAAGTATTGTGTCACTGAGTCCATAGCTATAGAGCCAGGGTTTGGTCTCTCACAGCCAGTGTTTCCTCAAGGACAGTAGGGACCTTACATGAATGCTGATAAAGTATTGAATCATTCCATTTCTAACTGCTGGATGAGATCATTACTATTTACATTCCAGAGTTATATTAGATTTCTCCGAAGTGTTAATTGTAGGAATTTCTTTCATGAATCAATTCACTATGTGTGCTGCTCATAATCAAGTACAGTAAGCACAACACTTCGTTGTTGTTGAAAAAGTGAGAAGTAGCCTACAACCTGAGTGGGTCATATCATAAACATTCATATACTCTTTACCTAGAGTTTTGAATGTTTAATATTTTATACTAGGGTTTTATTGTTTATAATTTTTTGTTTTTGTTTTGGTGGTACTGGTGATTGAACTCAGGACCTCATGCTTGTTAGGTGAATACTATACTTGTTAAGCCATATCCTCAGTACTATATTCATCTTTAAAAATTAATCTTATCATCCCGGGCCCCGGTGGCTCATGCCTGTAATCCTAGCTACCCAAGAGGCTGAGATATGTGGATCATGGTTCAAAGCCAGCCCAGGCAGGAAAGTCTGTGAGACTCTTATCTCCCATTAATCACCAGAAAACCAGAAATGGCACTGTGTTTCAAAGTGGTAGAGCACTAGCCTCCAGCAAAAGAGCTCAGGGACAGTGCCCAGGTCATTAGTTCAAGCCTCAGGACTGAAAAAAATTAATCTTATCTAAAGAAACTCCTTTTTGACAAAAAAACAACATGACAAGGCAAGGCAATGGCTTTCCTAAAGAGATCAATAACCTCATAGAATGAAAAGAATAGATTCCGATTATAAAATGTATAAACATCTGTGCTTTCTATCAAGTAGAAGGCTTTTATTAAGCGTAGCTACGAGTAACATAATGTTTATGATGCAGAAAACACGTAAGTTATTTTAGTTATACCAATCCACACTTAAGCTGTGGAGGTATCTATTCACTTTTAGGTCAGTACAGGTTTCTCAAGAGTCACTTCCCTTAGGCCATTTACAATCCTGTGGAATGAAGTTGGGGAACTGTCCATGGAATGCACATCACCTAATGTCAGGCATTTCCCCAGGGTGCTCTCCGGAAGGAGGAGGCTCTCAGGATCCCCAGAGAAAGTAATAACTAGGAGATTTAAATCAGCTATGACTGTTGTCAGACCTGCTAAATATTTCCCTCACATTGTCCTTTGCCAAAGCTTTTTAAGATCAGAAACGTGTGTGTGTGTGTGTGTGTGTGTGTGTGTGTGTGTGTGTGTGTGTGTATACTGGTTCTTGGGCTTTAACTCAGAGCCTGAGTACTGTCCCTGAGCATCTTTGTTCAAGGCTAGCATTCTACCACTCGAGCCACCACTCCACTTCTGGCTTTTTTTTGGTAGTTAGTTGGAAATAGGAGTCTCAGGGACTTTCCTGCCCAGACTGGCTTTGAACCATGATACTCAGATCTCAGCCTCCTGATAGCTTGGATTACAGGTTTGAGCTACTGCACTTAGCCAGAAGCACTGTTAAATGTTACACATAATAATCCCCTATTTTCATGAATGAATTTTTGCTTATCACAAACTAGTTAATATAATGAAGAATGATTTAATTGTGAATATAAATCATTTAAAATGAATTCATACCATCACCATCATCCTACTTTGGTATCAGGTTTACACTAATTAAATTAGTTTGTGTTAGCAATTGATAGCCTTAAAGGAAGGCTGCTTTTTCCTTCTTGATCCTGTCATGCACGAATTATATTTGTTCTATGCTTATCCACTTGTACTTAAGGAAAGCAAAAGTAAAAATCAGCAAATGTTTAATCAAAGAAAGCATCCTCAATAAAGTGACATGTGGATTTAACTCTACTAGAAAAGTATTGTGTTTATAAAAGTTCTCAATTAATAATAAATAGCCAGTTAAATTGCTCAGTATTTTACTACTTTGATGTTTTGTATGAAAATGTCGGTCAGGCAAGGCACTGGTGGCTCATACCTATAATCCTAGCTACTCAGGAGTCTGAGATCTGAGGATCTTGATTCGAAGCCAGCCAGGGCAGGACAGGAAACTCTGTGAGACTCTTATTTCCAATAAAACTACTCAGAAAAAGCTGGAAGTGGAGCTGTGGCTCAAGTGGTACAGTCCTAGCCTTGAGCAAAAGAAACTCAAGGACAATGCAGAGACCCTGAGTTCAAGCTGCAGTAATGGCAAAAAAAAAAAAAAAAAGAAGTTAACTCAGTGAACTCAGTGTTTCTGTTAGAAAGCCTTGGAGTCTTCACAGCATTTGGCTGTTTACTTGCTTCTTACTGTCTACATTGACCCTTGAAACTAAGTTTAAGGAATATAAGGACCATTTTGCTTTTGTTCACTATTTTAGTCACAAAGCTTGGCACAGTATTGGGCATATTTTATTTCTAATGAGTGACTGATGAATCAGAAGATCTGAATTTG